ACCTCGGTGACAGTTACAAAATTTGAAATTCAATCCGGTGTTTCAGGATGGAACAGTAAATGAGACTACATATCCATATCAAGACGATTTCAGTTACGTCAAAGTATTACAATGTTTTCTTTTTTAATTTCATATTTTTTAACTAACATCTCTGAACATTTACTTAGACTAATCGTCAAATATGTAATATGCACTTTTTCTATAGTAATTACATAACAGTTTCCCCCCCCCCCCCACCCCCTTTTATCTCAATCATTCTCGTTGTACCCTGACGGAAGCACGCAGAGGGTTTTATTCTTGATATGGGAGGGAGCTGGAGTATCCGGAGAAAACCCGCGTGGTCGGGCAGGTGACCGATATTGAATTCGGCCATCTTGGTGAAGGCGAGCGCGCTATCCACTGCGCCACCCGACCCATCACATACGTTACGCACAAGAACAAATATCTCCTTTAGCTTTGACTGGAAGAAAATGGCGTCATTGATGCAACAATTATATTGTGAATACATTTTTACCAATCATCAATGATATAAATTACATACGGGAGACCGGGGCAAGTTCGGCCATCCCTGATATTTTTGTTTTTGAGCTAATATTTACAACTTAAAGTTCTTAGCAGTTTAGTTGGCTGGGAATTCAACGACGAAAAAATGGCGAGGAAAACTCTAATGTAAAATCCCTTAACAGGAGAAAATTACTTTTGAGAGGGTAGAAAGAAAATCCTGATCTCGCTTCTAGTTATGCAAACTTTTTGAAACGGAATGGCTACTTTTTTACAGTCAAACGTGTAACACACTGACAGCTTCAAACGATAATACATGAAAGCCAAGCCAGACTGGCACTTAGAAAACAAGTGCTTGACCAAAACCATTGATTGGAATAGTGTTGTGCCTCATGAAATAACATCAAAGTGTTACCTTCATATAGAAACGAAAGTAAATCATGAGTGTCATCATCCCCTGTACCTATTTACAGACTTTACCATCTCTGACAAAAAATCAAATGACCCTGGCTATGACCATATGCTGTACAAATTGTTTAAGCCTATGAAATCTATACCAAGATTAAAGTCAGGGAGAGCCTTGTATTTCTTATTAGCCTTAGTCATACTAGACTCAAATGACGTCGAAATCAATCCTGGCCCAAAAAACAACAGTACCAAGTATATGTGTGGTACGTGTGACAGTACTATTAACTGGAACCATAGGGGTATCATGTGCGAGACATGAAATCAGTGGTACCACATAAACTGTCAAAACGTACACACAGAAACATTTGAAGATCTGAATGTTAGCGATGTAAGCTGACATTGTATTGTTTGTAATCACCGAAATTACAGCCAAATTTTGTTCGACCTAAATGGGATAAATACATCAAACCCCTATGACACCCTGTCTCTTCTTGGTGATTTGGGTACAGATACCAACATCAGTAATTGTGTACTCCAACACAAACCAATCCATTCTTCGACTCCTGTTAGAAAGAACACAGGTCCACACAAAAGACATAAACAAAAACCACTGCGAATTGTTAACATCAACTTCCAGTCGATTCGAAATAAATAACATCTTCTTGAAAATGTCTTGGATAGCACTGCGCCTGATATAGTGATTGGGACTGAAACCTGGCTTAACCCGAGCATAACATCAGCCGAAATATTCCCTTCGGGCTATAAGATCTACCGAAATGACAGAAAAAAGTCAGACACTGATAAAGATGGTGTCGGTGTACTGATCGCTATAAAAGACCACCTCATCAGCGAAGAAGTACATGATCTGACACCAAACAAGGCCAGTGAATCTATATGGGCCAAAGTGAATGTAATCGGGAGTAAAACACTCTATATCTGCTCCTTCTATCATCCCAAAACATCTGACGAAAACAGTATGAGATTGTTTAGCTATTCCTTTAAAGAAGCCACCAAAATTAATAATGCAGCCCTCATTATAGGTGTCGGCTTCAATCTCCCGGGCTGGGACTGGAAAAATAAAGTCCTCAAACCCAAAACAAATCATGTGAAAATACACTATGATTTTGCCAACTTACTGGAAGACACGGCACTCACCCAGGTAATCGATCAACCCACCAGAAATGAAAATATCCTTGATCTCCTCATTACAAATTTCCCAAACCAAATAATTCGAACAGAAATTATCCCTGGTCTCTCTGACCACGACATAGTCTATGCAGAGTTGAACCTTAACCCACAAAAAATATTCTCAAAAACCAAGATCCATCCCAGTATATAAAAACTCAAACTGGAATTCAATTAAAGCTGAGCTTATCAACGTGTACAACTGTATGACAGAAAATAGCGAGTGGGACGTAAACAAAATATGGGAGTATTTCAAAATTGAATTGTCTAAACTCATAAAAGAACATATCCCCCACAAGATAGTTAAGACAAAACCCAGCCTACCTTGGGTTACCCCTGACATAAAGAAACTTATCAGGAGAAGAAATAGATTGTACAAACGATCAAAAAAATCAGGAGACACTGAAATAAAAAATAAGTATAAAAACCTGAAACATCATATACAGAGAAAACTCCGAACATCTTACTGGAGCCATATTGATAATATCATCACCCCAGAAAACACAACGAAAACAAATTTTCCTGCAAAAAACGGTTTTGGTCATATTTAAAATCCAAAAGATCAGACCATAGTGGCAAAGCTCCTCTGAAAAAGGACGGTAAACTTGTTTATGACCCTACCACCAAGGCCCAGGTGCTAAACGCACAATTTCAATCTGTTTTTACTCCTCCTGAAAACTTTACCGACCAGCAGTTTCGCACTAGATGCAACATGCCTACTCACGATAAACACCCTGCCATGCCTGAAATTTCTATACATGAAAAGGGTGTCTTAAAACTGCTCCAAGGCCTAAATCCATACAGGGCCTCGGGCCCTGATGACATCAAACCCAGAGTACTAAAAGAGCTTGCAACAGAAATAGCCCCGATATTAACCCTAATATTTAATCAGTCTCTGGAAACAGGCATAGTGCCTTCAGACTGGAAATCTGCAAATATATCACCTGCTTATAAAAAGGGTCCAAAATTTCACCCAGAAAACTACAGGCCCATATCTCTGACCTGTATCTGTAGCAAAAGTATGGAACACATTGTGGTCTCAACTATCATGACTCATGCCGATACCCATAACATATTGTATCCGTTCCAACATGGTTTTCGCAAATCGCGATCATGCGAAACCCAACTTCTTGAATTTGTGGATGACATCTCAAAGAATCTTGATGAGGGACGCCAAACAGATATCGTCATAATGGACTTTGCTAAGGCTTTCGACAAGGTCAGTCATTCTCTCCTAAACCATAAACTAAAACATTATGGTATACGTGGAAATGTCGAAAACTGGATCGAAAGTTTCCTGACCGGTAGAACTCAGACAGTAGTAGTTGAAGGGGAGAAGTCTGATTTTGTCGATGTCCATTCCGGGGTACCCCAGGGGTCAGTTTTGGGACCCAGTTTATTTCTTTACTTTATAAACGATATCCCTGTGGGTCTAAATGCTACAATCCGTTTATTTGCAGACGACACTATTGCATATCTAGTCATCAAGTCAAACAGTGATGCTGAAACACTTCAAAAATATCTTGACAAACTGGCGCTCTGGGAAAATACATGGAAAATGATCTTCCACCCAAACAAATGCAATGTGTTGTCGGTGACTAAAAACAAAACTCCAATAGTCCATAATTATACTTTACATGGACACATACTGGAACATCTTAGACAGGACAAGTATCTGGGTGTAACACTATCATCTGACCTTAAATGGGATTCACATATAAATACTATCTGCCCAAAAGCAAATTCTACGCTAGGCTTTTTAAGACGAAATCTTAAAATTGGCTCAACATCAGCCAAAGTACAGGCATACAAATCATTAGTTCGACCATCACTTGAGTATGCCTGTACAGTATGGGACCCTCACACCCAAACAAATATTGACAAGTTGGAAATGGTCCAGCGAAGGGCAGCGCGCTATGTGCTCAATAAGCACAGGTACAACCATCGTACGTCCAGTGTGTCAGAAATGTTGGACCACCTAAAGCTGCGCCCTCTAGCAGATAGACGTAGAGATGCTCGTCTGACCATGCTTCATAACATTGTAAACCAGAAAGTCGCTATCGTAAAATCAGACAGATTAATCCCTACAGTTAGAAAATCCCGAACAAACCACCAGTTTTCGTATCAAATTCCCCAGTCAAAAACCCAGATCAGAAAGGCATCATTCTTCCCTCGAACTATACCCGAGTGGAACAAACTCCCACCTGACATTATTTCGAGCCACACAACGGAATTATTCAAATCAGCCCTCTACCGTCACCTTTCGAACGCAAATTAGACCATCTCGTATCCATGTTTCACTCCTCGTCTGACATTTTATCTTCAAATTGTTGAAGTTGGTCAGTACCATTTAGAAGTAGAAGTAGAATCACGCACTACCATATTGCTGTACGATAAGAATTTATTGAAGTATCAATTTGGGCCCGGAGAGTTTCCGCCAATGATACCGTGGCAATTTCGGCCCATGTAACACATAAAAAGTCGTAAAATTGGCGGTAAAATCTGGCGTTGCATGCTTTATGACGTCATATTTAAGCTGATTCCGATGGGGCCCGAACTTACCCGAATGCCTTCCCGAACTAACCCCATGACGGGGCTCGTTCGGCCATCCAATCCTCCGACAGGATGGTTGAATAATGTTCAAAAACGGACGTTCTGCCATACTTCCTAGAACGGACTTTAATAAAGAAACAATAAAAAAGGGACGAACTTGCCCCGGTTTCCCTATTGTTATGTCGGTCTTAATCTCATTAGAGCTTATGTTTTATTGTTATTCCTCGACTAGCCGACTTTAAATAAAGTTTATCTTATCTCATTCTGAAAGTTGTATTCTTAATCAGTAAATATCAGAGATCAACAAAAGCTACGCTCTTTTAAGGCTTTGCCTTTTCATATTATTTACTTACGGTAAAATTAAAGACGGTTGTGTTGCGCACTAACGGCTGCAGTCGCTGCAAACAGGCATTGTATCCCGGAGCCCCGACCTTCATGAAGTAAGACAGATACGTTATGGCCGACATCTCATCAAGCTCTGGACTCGCCATATATTCCGGACGCAGGATTAAAGGTATTCCGAACTGTTGTCTGGCTAGCTTCATTGCCTTTCTGCAGTTGTTTTCCCTGGAATATTTAGGACATCATTGTTTTCAGAATATTACCCAAGAATGGATGTAATGTGTGTCAGTATTATTGGATTTTGGATCATATGTCTGTATTTAGATATATGTCAGCGGTTATGCGTCTTAATTGTGGAATACTGGGCCACTTGTCCGCAAAGTGTGGAAATTGAAAAGTGTGTCTGTATTGTGAAACACTGGTTCACGTGTTTGTTTTGTGTGATATTGGGTCACGTGTCTGTATTGTGAAACACTGGTTCATGTGTTAGTTTAGTGTGATATTGGGTCACGTGTCTGTATTGTGAAACACCGGGTCACGTTTCTGTATTGTGTGATAAAGGGTCACGTGTCTGTATTGTGAAACACTAGGTCACGTGTTTGCATTGTGTGATATCGGGTCACATGTCTGTATTGTGTAACATTCGGTCACGTCTATGTTTTTTGTAACACGAGGTCACATGCCTGTATCGTATGACATGATGTCACGTGTCTCTATTACATGACATGTTATGTCTGAACACTGTGATATTGGGTCACGTGTTTGTGTGTGACATACGATCACGTGTTTTTATTTTGTGACATTTATTACACAAACACTCTATGTTTGTCTCACAATCCATGTTGTAACGCAGAATTAAAGGTATTCCGAACTGTTGTCTGGCTAGCTTCATTGCCTTTCTGCAGTTGTTTTCCCTGAAATATTTAGGACATCATTGTTTTCAGAATATAACCCAAGAATGGATGTAATGTGTGTCAGAATTATTGGATTTTGGATCATATGTCTGTATTTAGATATATGTCAGCGGTTATGCGTCTTAATTTTGGAATACTGGGCCACTTGTCCGCAAAGTGTGGAAATTGAAAAGTGTGTCTGTATTTTGAAACACTGGTTCACGTGTTTGTTTTGTGTGATATTGGGTCACGTGTCTGTATTATGAAAAACCGGGTCACGTTTCTGTATTGTGTGATATTGGGTCACGTGTCTGTATTGTGAAAAACCGGGTCACGTTTCTGTATTGTGTGATATAGGGTCACGTGTCTGTATTATGAAACACTGGTTCACGTGTTTGTTTTGTGTGATATTGGGTCACGTGTCTGTATTATGAAAAACCGGGTCACGTTTCTGTATTGTGTGATATAGGGTCACGTGTCTGTATTGTGAAACACCGGGTCACGTTTCTGTATTGTGTGATATTGGGTCACATGTATGTATTGTGTAACATTCGGTCACCTGCATGTTTTTTGTAACACGAGGTCACATGCCTGTATCGTATGACATGATGTCACGTGTCTGTATTGCATGACATGTTATGTCTGAACACTGTGATATTGGGTCACATGTATGTATTGTGTAACATTCGGTCACCTGCATGTTTTTTGTAACACGAGGTCACATGCCTGTATCGTATGACACGATGTCACGTGTCTGTATTGCATGATATGTTATGTCTGAACACTGTGATATTGGGTCACGTGTTTGTGTGTGACATACCATCACGTGTTTTTATTTTGTGACATTTATTATACAAACACTCCATGTTTGTCACACAATCCATGTTGTAAAACAGTCTGTATTTTGTAATATGGGGATTTCTCTCTCATTTATATTTTACTCTCTACTCCTTTCCTTCCAATATTTCCTCTTATAAACTGCACTGTAATCCTCTCCCTTCCATGTGGGGAAAAATTGAGGAAAATGGTGAAACACATGATTTTTAAAGAAAATTATCGGGGTGGGGGGGTTTCCTGAAGCCCAAAAAACCCTCTGGATCCGCCACTGCTTCCTTCTATTCCCCCTGTCGGATATCTCCGTCACCCTTTTCCTCCCTTCTCGTTCCCCGTCCCTCACCCCATTTCGGCTATCTTTTTTCGTCGGTCCATCCCTTTTCCGATCCATTTTGTATCATATCTCTACCGTTATGGATGAAATAAAAACACTACTCATCCTTTAGAAATACCATTCCTAGATATCGGACACAGAACTCTCCAGCGTAGGAGGTCAAAATGTTAAGGAATGTAATCGCCCTAAATTGAACACGGAAAGAAATGACTGATGTGTTTTGCCCCTCGTCGCCTCGGTGTATGTCTATACTGAAATAAAATATGCGAACAGAATAATGTACCTTGTTACTGTAGCTGTTTAGCATATCCTGCTGGCCGTCGTGCCGTAGTTGTTTTGTTACGCCCGAAATTGTACTCTATTGGATCATACCGATTCAGTTTAGTAGTGTATATAAAACAACATAGTATACTGTAACCTTATGTTTTAATATGACTGTGTATGATTTAATTTACCAATTATTTAGTCATACCTATAAACCTACAACTCTCCACCAGGTGTCTTTGTAGATACCATATCGATAGTAGTAACAATACATTTCTTTTCGTTCGTAACCTTTAAACAGAAATGGACGCAATCATAATATTGAGACCAGTGTCCAGCTGTCAATGAAGATACGTTAGTGTTCTCTTTGTGTAGAATCATTAGACAGCAGGTGGCAGGACCCCGGGGTAGAAACGAAAGTTTAACTATTTAAAGTTTCAATTGTCAAGCGACTGATCTGGCCACCGGGCCTACTGTACGATGATATCAGAACCATGAGTTTCCATAATTAACTTTGATACACAGTGCTACTTGTATCACTCAAAAAGTTCATGAGAATTGAACGGAAAATTAACTAATTCGTAATTATCAATTTATATATAAGAATATGAAGACATTAAGCGTACACAGCGACGGTGTGTAATCTACGTGTTATGTCACCCCAAAACCCACATCGTAAACACAACTCCACAGCAATGTCCGAATTAAACCTCAGCTGTGGAATATCCAATTAACGTTGTCTCATTTGCAGGCATAACACTCTTTGTATATAATCGGTGCGCAGTGTACATACATGAATAATTGTATGTATTGTAGCTTTTGTCCCTCAAATATGACGGGCGTACTAGAATGTCTAACCTAGGCGATATATACAGAGTACATTCCTCGTGTACACACTACCAACATTCCCGGGGCAGGGTTTCCAGTTAATCACCCTTATACTACCATTACTCGCTAGGACGGACACGGGGAATCTCCAGCCGTCGCTACGGAGTCAGCCCAATGACATCCCATGTCCTTTATGAAAGGAATTCCGCGGGGTCAGGTTTTTGATGGGCACTGTTGTCAATTTCCTACCGAGATTATAAGTCAGGCTAACATCCACTCCACGCTATTTAATTATCTATCTATACCGCTATTGTCACAGTGGTCAAGTTTACAATGCCAATGGACGCTTGTACATAGTGTATATACACTACTGTACTTCAGGTTCCGCCCATATCCATACACAGTCTGTTATTGAGCTAAATGTCCATAAGACTTTTCGGCGACTGGTCAGCGTATTGTATTTGACACGACACGACAACCTGAACTCTCCCCATCACCACCCGCCTTCTCTCTCTTCCTCTCCACACCTAAATGGCTCACACCTTTCCTGCCATGTCCCCTGCTGCCCCTCCCTCACAATCGTCCTTACCTGTCCAACTTGTCACATGACTTCCAGGTGGGGTATAACCCAGGCACGCAAAAGTCCAGCAGGCCTCTATCAACAACACGAATATAGCAATCAATTAATCTATCGACTGATTAATGTGATAGTAACCAAAAATTTCATCAATTATCCAAAATATAAAATCAAATATTTGTTTATATGCATTGTTAAAACTTTGACATTTTTGTAAGACAACTACGTGTATGCATGTTGTAACTGTGAAATTGTACCATATTTCGTTTTATACATGTTGACAAATTTTGCGATATTTTGTGTCTGCTTCTACTTACAAAAGGGCGCTTCCGTCGGTCCAATCGGAAGTAAAATTTGTGATACTGCACTCCGGAAGTACTGCCTGTAACCATGCCAACATCCAGTTCCGGTGTTGAATGTTTGATAACCCGATTTGATAGCGGATGACAAGCTGCCATATCAGGGCTAGAATAAGTTTGGAGTTACCCTCTAGTATCTCTTTACTATCTGTAAACAAAACACAGGTCAGAATAAGTTTGGAGTTACCCTCTAGTATCTCTTTACTATCTATAAAGAAAACACTGGTCAGAATAAGTTTGGAGTTACCCTCTAGTATCACTTTACTATCTATAAACAAAACACTGGTCAGAATAAGTTTGGAGTTATCCTCTAGTATCTCTTTACTTTCTATAAACAAAACACTGGTCAGAATAAGTTTGGAGTTACCATAGATTATCTCTTTACTATCTATAAACAAAACAAAGGTCAGAATAAGTTTGGAGTTATCCTCTAGTATCTCTTTACTTTCTATAAACAAAACACTGGTCAGAATAAGTTTGGAGTTACCCTCTAGTATCTCTTTACTATCTATAAACAAAACACAGGTCAGAATAAGTTTGGAGTTATCCTCTAGTATCTCTTTACTTTCTATAAACAAAACACTGGTCAGAATAAGTTTGGAGTTATCCTCTAGTATCTCTTTACTATCTATAAACAAAACACTGGTCGGAATAAGTTTGGAGTAACCCTCTAGTATATCTTTACTATCTATGAACAAAACACAGGTCAGAATAAGTTTGGAGTAACCCTCTGGTATCACTTTACTATCTATAAACAAAACACTGGTCGGAATAAGTTTGGAGTAACCCTCTAGTATATCTTTACTATCTATAAACAAAACACAGGTCAGAATAAGGTTGGAGTTATCCTCTAGTATCTCTTTACTTTCTATAAACAAAACACAGGTCAGAATAGTTTTGGAGTTACCATAGAGTATCGCTTTACTCTCTATAAACAAAACACTGGTCAGAATAAGTTTGGAGTTCCCCTCTAGTATCTCTTTACTATCTATAAAGAAAACACTGGTCAGAATAAGTTTGGAGTTCCCCTCTAGTATCGCTTTACTATCTATAAACAAAACATAGGTCAGAATAAGTTTGGAGTTACCATAGAGTATCGCTTTACTCTCTATAAACAAAACACTGGTCAGAATAAGTTTGGAGCTACCCTCTAGTATCGCTTTACTATCTATAAACAAAACCCTGGTCAGAATAAGTTTGGAGTTATCCTCTAGTATCACTTTACTATCTATAAACAAAACACTGGTCAGGATAATTTTGGAGTTATCCTCTAGTATCTCTTTACTATCTATAAACAAAACACAGGTCAGAATAAGTTTGGAGTAACCCTCTGGTATCACTTTACTATCTATAAACAAAACACTGGTCGGAATAAGTTTGGAGTAACCCTCTAGTATATCTTTACTATCTATAAACAAAACACAGGTCAGAATAAGGTTGGAGTTATCCTCTAGTATCTCTTTACTTTCTATAAACAAAACACAGGTCAGAATAGGTTTGGAGTTACCATAGAGTATCGCTGTACTATCTATAAACAAAACACAGGTCAGAATAAGGTTGGAGTTATCCTCTAGTATCTCTTTACTATCTATAAACAAAACACTGGTCAGAATAAGTTTGGAGTTACCATAGAGTACCGCTTTACTATCTATAAACAAAACACTGGTCAGGATAATTTTGGAGTTATCCTCTAGTATCTCTTTACTTTCTATAAACAAAACACAGGTCAGAATAGTTTTGGAGTTACCATAGAGTATCGCTTTACTCTCTATAAACAAAACACTGGTCAGAATAAGTTTGGAGTTCCCCTCTAGTATCGCTTTACTATCTATAAACAAAACATAGGTCAGAATAAGTTTGGAGTTACCATAGATTATCTCTTTACTATCTATAAACAAAACACTGGTCGGAATAAGTTTGGAGTAACCCTCTAGTATATCTTTACTATCTATGAACAAAACACAGGTCAGAATAAGTTTGGAGTAACCCTCTGGTATCACTTTACTATCTATAAACAAAACACTGGTCAGGATAATTTTGGAGTTATCCTCTAGTATCTCTTTACTTTCTATAAACAAAACACTGGTCAGAATAAGTTTGGAGCTACCCTCTAGTATCGCTTTACTATCTATAAACAAAACATAGGTCAGAATAAGTTTGGAGTTACCATAGATTATCTCTTTACTATCTATAAACAAAACACAGGTCAGAATAAGGTTGGAGTTATCCTCTAGTATCTCTTTACTATCTATAAACAAAACACAGGTCAGAATAAGTTTGGAGTTACCCTAGAGTATCTCTTTACTATCTATAAACAAAACACTGGTCGGAATAAGTTTGGAGTAACCCTCTAGTATATCTTTACTATCTATAAACAAAACACAGGTCAGAATAAGTTTGGAGTAACCCTCTGGTATCACTTTACTATCTATAAACAAAACACAGGTCAGAATAAGTTTGGAGTAACCCTCTGGTATCACTTTACTATCTATAAACAAAACACAGGTCAGAATAAGTTTGGAGTTACCCTCGAGTTTTTTCTCATGGGACACTATTTTTTTCGAGCTCTCGGACATTCCATCTTGTACCTTATCTTTATGTATACAACTGTTGTGACTCCATTGAAACTGTCCGTGGGACGGAACTGATATGTGACCAATATACATGTACCAATAGAACGAAACCAAAGTTAAGTATACATATCAGAACAAGTAACGGTCTTGTGAGTCTTATGTCAAGAAGAACAAACTGATTTGTGACCAATATATCAAAGGCATAAGTATATCAAGGAGAAACTGGCAAACCGACTTACGGCCAAACTTTCGAAAGGAAGTTACTATAACGAAACTAAAATATTTAAAAGTAGAACTGACTTATATATCTTATGCTGGGTCCTTGGAGGAATTGTTTACAACGCCATCTGTCAATCCTTAAAACGTGTTTTTCTTTCTCATTTCTTCATTTTGAATCATACAATTTTACTCTTTCCTCACCTGAAAGGTGTTCACGGTACACCAGCCTGATATTGCTGCAGCATACGGGGCAAGGTTGATATATAAATATACATATATGAATCACGTCACGTTGTAACGGGACTACAAAGCACTATACCATGGCAGAGCGAGGGCGTATACACATTTTATAAAAGTTGGAATTGCAAAAAAACATGAAAAGAATTTTAATACATATGTAATGCAGATCAAATCATTCATATCCTAAGTGGTTACTGAAGAGTTTTTGATGACAATATCAACATCCTATTCCGGAAGGTTTCAATCAGGCCACATCCAGATGACTCAATCACACAGACATGGAGTATTGGTGATAAGTTGTCCTGTTTAATAGAGAACATGGCTAGGTCTGTAGAGACGCTGCTTATAAAAATATATAAGTTAGAACATCACATGAACTCGGGTACCTATTGTACTAGATAGACAAGCTCGTACCTATTGTACTAGATAGACAAGCTCGTACCTATTGTACCACCGGGGATGGAATGATGACGTGATGTTGTTTATTGACGAGATCTATGCAGCACACGTACTATACTGCTATACTGATATACACGTTACTGTTGGTTAAGGTGCAATCTAAGAACATGTGCGATAGACCGTGCTACTGAAATGTAGGACCCTAATGTATGAACGAGGCTGTATATAGGGAGTCTACATTACAAGGTGGGTGTCCGATCTAAAGGGGAAAACTACAACTATTTCTAGTCGCATTGGTTATTATAAGCGTGTTGATCTAAACTGTGATTCAATATGACGATGACGTCACTACCCATTCACAAATTACCTTGCACCCTTGTTGCCATACGAACAAGGCGGTCCTGACTTGTTAGCCCTACAACGAATCGCAAGTAGAACAGTCCAATTCATGCAATTAAGATAAGTATATATCTGATACAGGTTCGTTTCTGATCCTCTACACCAGACTCCAAATAGTACATATAAATATTGACTTACAAAGCTATAACGTTAATATGTTACACTGTATCTTGTTATTGATGAACTTTAGATTTATAATTATATAAACGTTTATGCAAAGAATACTCATGATGTGGTCTATTCTTAAAGGCCCTGTACTCGGGGACACGGAAGCGATCAAAACAATTCTGCTGTACCAATTGCAATATTTGGGATATATATATACATATTTCTCTACTTCTAACTACCTTTTATTTCCTAGCGCCTTGATTGACAATACCTATTCTTTGGCGTTATTCTGAACGTTCGCCCAGGTCAGAAATGCAATTGGTCCTGTCCCCATGCAGGGACAAACCAAAGTCCTTAAAACTGGTGGTTGTTGTTCCCTGCTTAACGTTCAGCATAAAGGGTAAAGGCGACAATTGTTTTCCTGTTGCCATTATAATGTGACCAGACGGAATGCAGTGCTGGGTACCTTCGGGTCATGGTATTTCAGTGCGATGGCACTATAAAGTCGGTATACGCATACACAACACACGGAGGCTCGTCCTCAAATTCTGTTAATAGGACGTTTAACAAAAGAAAGTAAAACAAAACAAAAAATTGAGACTGGTGCTTGCCCGTTGTGGAAATATCTTTTAAGTTTCCCCTCCTGCTGTATCTGTCTGTCATATTATTCCAAATCCTTCAACAACAACGACAACATTTAGCTACAATTAACCATGTACATTTAATAACTCTTTTCCTGTAAAACAAGCTGTGTTCGGAGTCACAGAAGCTATCGATGCATAATGTCTCTTTAGCAAAGATGTTCTTTGACATGGCACGTTTGTTTCAGGTAACAGTAAATAGGGATATTCAATTAATCTATCAAAAGAAACTACTTCCGTTCTTTGAGTTGGTAACATGTTCTTCACAACGTTTGTATGGAGTCAAACAGAACGTGTGAATGATATTCTACAAGCTGTGAGTAGAAAGTACAGGTATATAAACTCGCTTACTGACGTTTGTTATAAACAAAGTTTGTGCTTATGGATCACATCTATAGAAGCGTACATAGTACACTCATGGAACATTTTACAGACTGCAACAAGGACACACCAGTTGACCGCAACCCACAATGCTGGAAACGAATATACACAAATGACATCCTAGGAGGTCATCAAAAGGAAGGGAGTAAAGTATAATAGAACAAACCAACCGATCGGACAAAAAATAGTTCCATAGAGTTCCATAACATTGGCATGTGACGAAGAGGAAAACGGTCGGATACCTCCCCTGGTCGCCCTAAAGATAGGTAATGAAGACGGCACGATGAAGTTGCTGGTTACAAAATGGTTACATATCATTACACTAAAGTTATCAAGATATCAGGGCTTAAGTCCACTAAAGTTCACGCCACATAGGCAAAACGAGTACAAAGATACAAAAAGAGGAAGAGACATCATCAAAGAGACAGGACGAGGAATAGCATCATCAAAGGTACATAAAGAGGGAGGGACATCATCAAAGAGACAGGACGAGGAAGAGACATCATCAAAGGTACATAAAGAGGAAGAGACATCATCAAAGATAAAGAACGAGAAAGAGACATCATCAAAGAGAAATAAAGAGGAAGCGACATCATCAAAGAGACAGAACAAGGAAGAGACATCATCAAAGGTACAGAACGAGGAAGAGACATCATCAAAGAGACAGAACGAGGAAGAGACATCATCAAAGATACAAAAAGAGGAAGAGACATCATTAAAGAGACAGGGCGAGGAAGCGACATCATCAAGGGTACATAAAGAGGGAGGGATATCATCAAAGAGACAGGACGAGGAAGAGACATCATCAAAGGTACATAAAGAGGAAGATACATCATCAAAGATAAAGAACGAGGAATAGCATCATCAAAGATACATAATGAGGAAGAGACATCATCAAAGAAACAGAACGAGGAAGAGACATCATCAACGAGACAGAACGATAAAGAGATATAATCAAAGAGACATAAAGAGGAAGAGGCATCATCAAAGAAACATCAAGAGGAAGAGACATCATCAAAGGTACAGAACGAGGAAGAGACATCATCAAAGGTACATAAAGAGGAAGAGACATCATCATAGAGACAGGACGAGGAAGAGACATCATCAAAGAGACATAAAGAGGAAGAGACATCATCAAAGAGACAGAACAAGGAAGAGACATCATCAAAAGTACAGAACGAGGAAGAGACATCATCGAAGAGACATAAAGAGGAAGCGACATCATCAAAGGTACATAAAAAGGAAGCGACATCATAAAATATATACAGAACGAGGAAGAGACATCATCAAAGAGACATACAGATGAAGAGAAATCATCAAAGAAGCATAAAGAGGAAGAGACATCATAAAAGAGACATAAAGAGGAAGAGACATAATTAAAGAGACATAAAGAGGAAGAGACATCATAAAAGAGACCTAAAGAGGAAGAGACATCATTAAGGAGACATAAAGAGGAAGAGACATCATCAAAGATACAAAAAGAGGAAGAGACAACATCAAAGATACATAAACTAAATCTGAAGGCATGAGCATACTGTTTTAGTAACCTCCAAGTAAAATGGGTACACTATGCACTGTGACAGCACCTAGTGATACTGTATCGTTAGGGACATCCCGGACAAGTACTTGTACATCCTAAAGCCACAACAGACATTCTGGAAACCAACAGGTCATTGTTAAAGTGTCGGGGATCTTACGTGGGAGAAACTGGGAAGAAATTAGGAAAAGATCACAAAAAAGGACGTAAAAAGATAACTATCTTCAAGTAACTAGGAACACGGTTACATTTTGTAAATCGTTCACCTCAGTACAACAGATTGACACTGAAAACATGCATAAAAACCATAACCAACCATAAGATGGATTAGGAAAACACGAAATTTTGACAAAGGGACAACCAGATTACGACCTCATAATTCAGAGGTAAAATGTATCGAAAATGTTCATCACAGTATATTTACATTTGCCCCCGCGCCGTCCCATTACAATAGCGTTAGAGGGCAAGTGTAATTATATAGGCTATAATTACAACTGCTCGACTATAATTACAACTGCCTGTTTCAGGTGTAGGAATATGTAAACAAATAAAATGGCCGCCTGAAATGTATTTTGAGGCAGGGCAAATGTTTTTTTGTAGAAACATGTCTTAAAAATAAATAAATGTAAATATAAAAAAGTTATTGTTTAAATGAACAGAGATGAGTGTGATCGCCTCAGTCATCTATATGACCCACTGGTAGCCCGAAACTGTGCTAAATCTTGTGGGTGGACTTCCGGTGTATCTTGTTCTATTTAAATCATATGGCCATACTTTTCATATTAGTAATATTCGACAAAATGTCCCTGCTTTAAACAAACACCTACACTTTTATGTATACAGAGTGAATACTATCTCTATGCTGATCACGATGTTACGAATAGGACGCTGTCGGTAAAGACGAGCGTTATAACTTTTCTCCTCCGCTGGTGTTATTATAATGTTGTGGTGATGTCTGCTGAGAATATTACCAGAAAACGTCTCCTTTTGTAACCTAACTCCCACGTTCCTGTGAAGTAGGTAGAGGGTCTGATGTCTCCTGTATGTGTTTCCATGTGTGACTTTATGAGTTAGACGCACATTTTAAACTAGCAACTACCCACAGCTTCGTCTTACATAGTCTTAGACTACAAAGCTAACATCTAGACCTAACGGTGATAGTCATCTAGTGCTAAGTCTAGCGCAGCTTAGACCTTTCTTCACATATCATTTCAATGGTTTATATATTGATAAACGATATTGGCAAACACATGTTCATAATAAACTTAGGCACAGCGTAACACATCAATCGTGGAGATGTTTGATGTAATGGAAGGACGAACTGATTCAAAAGGACGACCATGACAAAACGTACCTAATGATCATTGATTGATCATGACGACTTAGGCGTGACGTCATATTAGAAGTTTTCTATGACACGTGATAGATCGTAAACCTAAGCAGGCAGTATGCCCGCAAGGAACAGTTGTGAAGCACACAACACTGTAGTATAACTGGATGTAGGGTACGTAGGCTGCAACATTAGAGCTAAGATACATAGACTGTGAACCAAGTGAGATAGTATTAAATGTTACAATTTGTAGCTTGGTCGGTTCAGTGTTAACGATGAGAGGTCGACTGGGACAATACTGCTTGATGCCAATCGTATATACATAAAGTTTAAAAATAGAGGTTCAAAGTCATTCGTTTGATAAAAATACTCAGAGTTTAAATAACTTACTCGGTATAAATTAAAACTCTATATCTTTGACTTTAAATATATGCAATTTATGCATTATATAATTAAAAAGCTAATAACGCGTGACGTGATGGGTTCTACACAAACGTACCAATAAGCTACAGAACGTGTATATTAAATAATTGGCATGCATAATCAGTCAGACGGAGCGCATACATTACACAGGTGAGTTCACAAACCTGTAACTTAAACATAATATACAGAGGAGTACCTCTGAAACAAAGCTGTAGCAACTGTCATTCAGCTTATTTTTTTCGGGAACAAACAAATTATTTGTTTCCCATATGTATAATTATTTTTGTTTGCAGATTTATGTACTAGGATTCCAAGTTTATGTGAACAAGTTGTATACATAATAATATGTGTTTAACAAACAATAAAGAAAACAGGTGGGTTCATTATCTATGAAGGAGTTCTAGATGTAAATGGCCAAAACGTCCAGCTGTGGGGACGTTCAACACAGCTATGTAGCGGTGAACAAGTTGCCGTATAAATACACGAACAGGTTTTATGGGTATCAAAAAAATAATCATAATGATACATGGACATAATGATTTTTTTTATAATATGTTAACAAGTGTAACAGTCGAAAAATTCCACTGAACACGGTATGTAGGGACATACTTATCTGTGAGCGAGTTATGTAGTCACGATCTAATTTATCTGTGAACAAACTGCTAAGGTTCATGATATAATATTAATCACTGAACAAGAGGTAAAGACTTACCATGAAGAAAATATATTAACGAGTAAGTTGTACATGGTGGAGGTGTTCATTACCTGTGAACAAGTTTGCAGGTTCATGACATAATTTATCTGTGAACTAGTTGGGCGGGCATGATGCATAATACAAGACTGCATGTTGTATAGGATACAGATTATAAATGAACAAGTTATAAATGGTATCTCTGAACAAGCTATACATTGACATACGTTGTATGAACCGATTATCTGTGAACACGTGTTCATCTTCTGTGAACATGTTATTCAGATCACGGTATACATGTGAATAGGTTTAAGATATAACGTTACACCTACCTATGTTGATAATGCGTACGTTGTCGTCCGCGATGCCGTTCAGGGCTACAGTGATGTTTTGGAGTTTTTCGTACTTATTAGTCGGTTTTGAGACGGTCCCTGGTAATTTCTGTCGCTTAAGAGCTTCCACCAGAGTAAAAAGCTTAACGCCATCTGAAAAATCTGTCCTTAGGTCACGAACCTCCGAGCCTTTAGATTTGAGCTGTTCATTTACCCAGTTAGTAAAGGTATCCTTCTGAATCTGCATCCACTGGACATTGTCCGTAGGGGCGAGCGAGCCATGGGACCCGTTCATGAACGACATGCCTCCTCCCAAATCAATGATACAAGTTCAAGTTATAAGAAATGTTTAAAACAACAACTGAATCACTTACTAAAGACAAACTCCAGCTTACACATGGCATATTTTGAAACACATCCTCGGCTCTTTTTGATTTAAAATTTCCAATGACATACACAATAATATATGAACTGGGCTTGAAGTCCTCCGCCCGTCAGACATTGCCTGTAAAGATACACAGTCTATAAGATTGCACGGTTGACAAGTTTAACGACTTGGAAACACCTCTACTACAAAACGAATACGTGATCAGTAAGCGAAATTTTACCTCCGATGGTGTAACGTTGAAGGTTTGCTTTTGTACAGCGGTACCGACCGGTCCAACCCGACCGAGAATGGCACAAACAATTGAAACGGTTGTGATATGATAAGGAATTTATCGTTAATCCTACGAACTGTCGCTTCTAGACATTGTCACAACCAAATACGCGGTGCGAAATGTTATCAATGTTTTTAGTGTTGTAAGTTATTTTTCGTTCAGGGTTAATTAAATTTGTAGAACGTTTCTGTTGAATCGTCTGACCCAACGATCCATAAAATCTATGGGCAGTGATAGTCGCCCTTACCCTCCGTGGTGTGTATAGCTTGTAGTGTTTCAAGGGCCGAAATCAGCAGCATTTAAGCATCCTTACATACGAGCGCCTTTCCGACACATGTTTGGTTCAGTATAGTTATTGACTACATTAAACCTTACAGTTCCCCTGATAAAAAACAACATATATACAGGACAATATAAGCACTAAACTGACATCCTCATCCACAAACACACCTATTACGTACTGTAGAGACATCCTTCGTTACTCTGTACAGAAGCTTTTCTTATTAACTCAGTTCAGTTTATATGTTGCTGAATTTGACAACTCTTGTTCACTGTTTCCACAAGTTGAATTAATTTGTACATTCTGGTTCTAATGTAGCAGAACTTCGTAATAAAACAATTTCTGAAATCTACATAACATTCAACTTTTTCGAATCAACTTTCAAATCATCTTCGATGTCCAAACTGTTGCAGTATGCCCATGTTCTTACACTTCGTTCAATATACAGTGAAGTCATACATTATACATGTAGCTTCCAAATTAAATAATTTATGAGATGACAGTCTATTTTTTGTATTTCCTTTAGATTTATGTTTCCTATTGATTTTGTTAATTATGGTTGTAGCCAGAAATTTGGCCAATTCACTGGTAAACGTTTCTTGATATATACAATTATCAGTTGGTCTTAAATTGAACCAGGACTTGAAATATTCTAAATTTTCTTTTCATTTCCTAATTCTTGGTAAACCATGACATTTTCCATAGATTTCTTTGCACCTGATATTTTTGTAATTACTAAAAAGGAATGTTCTTTGTATCCGGTGGTTTATCAAACTAAACTTCCACGTCATCATCTAAAATACAACAAACATTCATGCATGTATCGAAAACATGAAGGTGAGGTTCAACGTTAAAAGTTTTATTTTTTAAACACATTTGAGACCGGAAACAATGCCTTTCTGCCATGCTAAGAATGTTTTGTTGTGTTTTTCCAAAACTGTAATTAAAATGAACATGCCGAAGTAACTAAATTCAACTACATTATCTAATACACACCCGTAATAATCAGTTAGCACTTATCTTCTTCTCGTAATTAACCACCGTATCGGGAAACGTTTACCTTAGTTTTAGTTGTCTTAAAAGTAAGATTCCGGCTAGGGTGTCATGTGACAGGCTGAGGTGTCATAATGCCTCATGAACACTGAGGTCCAATCTGGGATTATAAATCTCCCTGGGGATACATGTCTATTTGTTGTCTTTGTCATTCGTACACATGATCTTGGCACATTTTAATCGACTTGTTCGACTATCAATCCCATAAACAGTTAGTAGACGTAGGAAATTGATATGCAACTGTAAGAAGTCTTTATGTGTATTAAACTTTCTCTACGTGATACCTTTATGTCAATTAATCTGTATGTGGGCTTTATTTGGCTGTTGATTTTGGTCATATGGACAGTTTCAGGATAGAAATAATTTTGAAAAATAAATTTCTAAATGTACGTGCTGTAGGACGCTTTCTATTTAGATGACACTTTCAGAAATTGAATTTTTCATAACTAATGCTACTTTGGACAGGAAATTTAATCAGAACCTCGCTTAAGTCTAAAATATTTAAACTATGTGTAATGTTCTGCTTCCATTCCGCAATATTAACCAAAATACCAAAGTGTCCCTTTCAGGGTACAGTTGCATATGTTGCCTACGTATATTTCGTTCTATTTATAGAACCAAGTACCTGAAATATCAACCTGTCCTAGAAAATAATAGTGGATGATATATGTTGATGAAAAATGGTCAAACATTATTGGAACTGATACAATAGAATAAGATAAATTATATAATTATGGACTTTTGTGCTGATGAATATGATGTGATATGAACAAATGAAACTTTTTCATGTTCTTATTACATCATATTTACCAGAACAAAAGACCAATATTGAGTTATTGTTTGCTTTTTGTATTGATCACCTTTATTGGAACGAGCCTCCGTGTAAAATTTAGCAAGGGTTGACTCCAACAGCGCGGCATCGTAGCTAACGAAAACTTCGTCAAGGTTCTTTTAAGATAAAGCATTGAATGTTCGGTAGCGTTTTTGTGTTAAAAGCATCTTTATCTTCGTGTGGACTTTTGATATTTTCACATGTAAAGAAGATGAAGCGATCGCCAGCAGTTATCTTCTGTTGTTGTTTGACAGATCGCGTTCCGGTCTTACTGCGCATTCGCTTCGACAGGATGCGGGGAATTTCCATATAGACTATATTTAGAAATCGATTTTTTTAGAACTGATCACGTGGATTTCAAGTATAAAGTTACAATATTTAACTGATAAGTGTCCCGTTTTGGGTACAACCCCTGTATCATACATTAAACATAACATTTTATTTATAAATGTTCCTCCTGATTTATTTGGCCCTAAATATATACATTATTTGTTTTTCAATAATTATGAAATAAGTTATTTCAGCTTATATTAATCACTCTTGTTGGCCCGGATGTTAGTGCCCATATAGGGCCCAAATTACTATGGTCACAGAGGGTAAAACAGTACATACACAAAACACGTCCGGATTTCATTTGTAACCTTCCTTTCTACGATATGTTTGTATTTGAAAGAATGCGTTTAGTCCACTGGTCGTGTTCCAAACAGACCGAACAAGACGTAATACGTTTCAAGGTTTTCAGCTTCATAGAAAAAATTCATACATGTAGTGAACTAGTTTTTACATGAATTATTTAGCAGTGAAATAGATGATTCATATTGTTATGCATGTACTTAATTTGTTTTAAGTTAAAGTGATAAATATTCATGATGGTGTGTATATATTAATTGAGTGCGGGGCAAACTATTCCTTATTTTTGTCCGCAGTAGGATAAAGTAGTGCTAATATATATGAGAAATATTCAGCAAAGTTAGTACCACTTTGTTACTTTCTATAGAGTTATCAGGTGTGTAAGTTTTACACCGACAGCCTACATAGAGCTGTTAGTGACACTATGTCTACGATGACACTCTAAAATGAATGATCGGGAGAAAAGACCGTCATTTCCTGTTAGCTTACCTATATCTTTATAAGATATATTTGGTTAGGGATTTCATTTGTTTTTATTTGCCTAAAGGGCCCAGAATGATTATATATGGCCAGTACAATGCTGGCATAAAGGGCTACAAAGTTTGTTTACCTGAATGACCTTGACTTATATCCAAGGTCACAGGGGTCAAATGCTCAAAATCATAAGGCCAAGAATGGTGGTATTTGGCCAATAACATACTTTGATGAAGAGCTACCAAGTTTGTTCAAATGAATGACATAGATATATATTCAAGGTCACAGGAGTAAAATATGTTAAAACATTTTAATAACTTCTTCTGAATAACCAGAGAGACCATGGTGGTGATATTTGGCCAGTAGCATGCTGGGATGAAGGGCTACCAAGTTTGCTCGTATGAATGACCCTGACTTATATTTAAGGTCACAGGGGTCAATTGTCTTCAAAACCTTTAAACAACATCTTTTGAATAACCAAAAGGACCAGGAAAATGATATTTGGCCAGTAACATGCGGGGATAAAGGGATGGTCTGACGAAGGGAACTTAGCGTTTTGTGTATTAAATGAGCATCGTGCTTGAACTTAGATGAGCAATTCATGTGAACTATCCTATATGCTCACCCCTTTTATCAGGCCAGAGACACAACCGAACACATGCACATGAACAAATCTATCCTGAACAAGAAATACCCATATTAAAATTTCTGATGCAAGTTCCTTCATAAACACTACAAGACAAATTTTGTATTCCTATGGCTTTGAAGGGATTTCTTTCAGCTTCGAATAACCTGGGAACAATATAAGTTAAAATGTAAATATGTGTATTGAACTGAATCTGTTAACATGTATGATGGTATGGACGCAAATAAGTAACTTCCATATTTACAATGTAACATTAAGCACTAGCAGGCCTCATGCAATACGGATGTGACCGAATTGCATTCATACCGGTATGAGTGTATGACGTCACAATGTTAGTAACGCTACACTATTGTTATAGATGACGTTATTTACCTATGTTAATAATGTTATACAAGGATATTACGTCAATATTGATTTACGTCATACCATAGGTCGAATTCACGTTTGGCCAATGTTCTAATACAATTTGAATGAGACGATGTCTTATATACATGTATGTATTTACGTTGTAGTTCGATTCGCGAAATGAGATTGGATAGTGTGTATCAGTGTCAAGTTATCTAAGATGTCTAAATAAAGCTTTATATCTCAGGACGAAATACCGGATTTGGTACTTGGGGCTATATACAGAAAGCGTTAGATCGGTTTGTACCGTAAATGGTAGGCACGCCGTAGTGAGATTCATAGAGGGTTAAACTATTTAAAGGTAAGCTGGCTCTACGCATCACATTGTTGTGTAGGAAAGTCGCCGGACCGTGGCAACAAAATGTTCCTATTTTTAGTAATATTTCTAAAACCGGTTTTTACCCAAAACCTTGACACATGTTCTATGTAAACAGATTAACACCGATGCTCAGTAGTTAGATATTATTCCGTGTGGGCAGCAACTTCAGTCATCAGGTAAGGTGTGGAACAAGCACGGTACATAATGGCGTTAGTAGATATAAACACAGTAGAGAGGGGTTGGTGACCTCGGGTGACACACGCCAG